GCGCTGTCTCTGTCGCTCTAGTCAAATGTATGGCTTTGTGTGTCGATTTGTATACAGCACATGCCACATGAATGTTGCACGACGTGCTGTGCATGTATATATGTGTGTGTATGTGTGGCTTGCGCTGATAGCTGATAACAGTTAAGAGCTTAGAGCCAAGCGAGTGCCCAAACAAACAGAGCCATCGATGCAAGAAGAGGAGAGGAAGAGACAGGCGACGGGCAGGCAAAAGCCACCGCCCACTAGCGCAACTTTTTGCAAGCTTGCAAACGATTCTAAACACACACACACACACGCACAAGCACCGTTAAACGGTGACAGACTCAGACAGACTCAAAAAAAAAGCGGTTGCAGGCAGCAACAGCAGCAGCAACGACAATGTCAAACAAAAAAAACTCGAACGAGTTGCCAGCGCAGCCAACGACTTCTAATAAAAACCGGGACGGCAACAACGAAAGCGTTGCAGCAGGAAAATTGTTCAAGAAAATTCTTAAAAGAAATTAGCAAAAAAAATAAAAAGATGTACAACAAAAAAAAAAAAAAACAACAAAAAGAAAAGGCAAAAACAACAGCAGTAGCAACAACAACACTAAAACTAAAACAAACGACGACAGCGTTGCGATTTTCTGCCGTTAGCTTTTTATGCGGCGCGCAGCGTAAAGCTCAACGTCTCGAGAGGCGCGCCATTTCAGAGAGTGCAAGATAAAGAGCGTAAAATCGGTATGCGAATGAGAGAGCGCGCGGAATGGAGAGCGCAGCACGAGCCGCGACTTGGCGCTCGCTGCTGCTGCTGCTAGTGCAGCGCTTCCTAAAGAAGACAACATGCAGCGAATAAGTCACAATGTCACCCGACAAAAGCGTCGCAAATGTTTTAACTTGCAAGGCAAGATACGTTTTTTAAGGATTAACTTTTTATGTAAGACGAATTCGTTGTGTTTAATAACAACATAATTTGTATGATAGGAAGAATATAAATAAAATACCCATGTTATTTTTCCATTAAATTGTGAACATTATTATCGCACAATTGCGCAATACTAGTTCACAAAAGCAGGAAAACAGTTATATATAATCAATATGTGACAAGAAAATCAAAAATCTGAACTCTTGAACTCGTAAGAGAAGGCGACGTTATAGCTATGCGTTGATGAGTAAGGTTGACTATTTAACAAATCTATGTTTTCATTTATACAGATATATATAAAATTTAAAAATTTATTTTCATTTAACAATCATAGTAATGTTGCCTTATAAAACATATAATTATCAAATATCATTATTTTGTTGGTAATTAATAATTATTTTTTATTGCTCCGAACATTTTCATGAATGACGTTTTTGTCGCCTGTTTATATACACAAAGAGAGTTTTGAGTCGCAATCGCAATAATGTCGTCAGCCGGATGCTTAGCTAGCTTTTTCTCAATAGAATAAAAGAATAAAAGCAAAAAACAAAAAACAAAAAAAAACCTCGTAGCAACAGAAGAGTGCGAAAGAAGCAGAGAGAGAAAGGAGCGAGAGAGAAAGTATCAGCGCAAAAGGGGTAGGGAGGAAAACAACGCGGCGCAGTTAAAAAATTGCGTTGTTCATAAATCAGTCTCAATTAAAATTAACTGGAAAATGCAACGCTAATTAGATCTGCGGTCAGCACTATGCTTGGGGCACTTTACGTCTGCGGCTACGACTGCTCCTGGACCTGAATCGGACTGCATCACGCGGCGCACGGAACCGGCCGGCATTTGGGCGGGGCGGCGCGGTGCGACTTGGCTCGTCGGCACCGAATTTTTGTTAAGCATTTGTCGGTATATACGCATATGTGTGATTTACAATTTGCAGGAAAAACGATGCGGCATTTGTTTAATAACAATTAAAATAATAGCAGTCACAACAACAACAACAACAACAGCAGCCGAAACACGCCGACAAACGTTGCGAACAAGCATGACAATAATTGCCAGTTGTTGTTGACTGCTGACAACAACATGCGAAACGAAATGCCGACAATAACAACACAGCACAATAACAAAAAGAATAATAAAAAAAAGAAGAAAAAAAAACAAAAACAATTATCTATCAACAGCACGCGCGACACACGTTACGTATACGCAATACATGGCTAGCCCGCTCATCATACGATAAACAACATCATCATGAACGTGATTATCATGAGATGTCGCCATTATCATCCTCGTATTCCAACCACAAACGTCGTCGGCATCGTTGCCGTCGCCGATTCGTTACGTTACGTTGTCGTTCCGACGTCTAAATGAGCACTAAAACGTAACTCAACGACGCAGACGATGCCGGGCAGCCGGCACAGTCAAAAAAAAAATGAAAATAAAAATAAAAAAAGTAATAACAACAACAGCAGCATATAAAACTATCCTTGCTGCACTCTCTGTGCGCTTTTATTCGCTCTCATTCTCTTTCTCTCTCTCTCTCTCTCGCGCGCGCATTCCTGACGTTTATCAGCAGTTTGTAACAGAGACGCAGCAGCCAAAAGAAGCAGCGGCCGCAGCTTTTGGGGGCGTCAAGGCGTCAGGACAAAAGGCAGCGCAGCGCGCTCTCAATTTCGCTTATGTGTTTGTATGTGTGTGTGTGCCTTGGTATGTGTGCACTTCAGCATGGATGAACGAACGTCAAATAGAACATGTGCTAATGAATTATCAACTGTCGGCACAGCGTAAACGTTAGAGCGGACACGGCGACGAATGGACAAGGATAAATGAATGGATGAGGGGATAATAAAAAAAAAAATACAAATAACCAGTACATATATATCTTTATATATATATATATGTGTAAAGACATGCGACTGTATGTGGGACAATCCAAATGGTAGCCTACTTAATAGAGGGAGAGAACACTGCAATCAACGGCAAATGAATAACAGCTTAATGAATGAGTGCATTCACACGGAACGCAATGTAAACGCGTTATGAATCCAGTTTTAGACCAATTGACACTATAACTGCTGCAAGCTTATGACTTATTTGATCAGAAGATAAGGGACTACTGTTTGCAAAATGACTGTGAATCGATAAATTGATTGCAATATATATCTCATAACAAGAGCCGGTTCATATGGTATACTATTCAGGGAAGTTTTACTTTAAAACTTGATCTTGACCTCTGAATAACGCATATCCCGAACGCTATCCTTTAATGTACTCTATTTATTCAAAATATTATCTCGATTGGTAAATATATCGTTAAAAGAATTTCTAGTGTTAATTCACACTATCCCATACATATGTTTCTATCCCATACTACAATATTTCTCCAATTCCATTTGATATATGAACAAATCAATCGGTGAATTTAATAATTTCATGTAATTGTATAATTAACAAATGCACTCAATCAAAATCGATATATACATGTATATATTGTATATGCATAGGAGTATCGATAGTTAGGCGTTGACTGAATGTTTTCATTATTAACCTTGGGCTTGGCACGTTATTAAATCATCTACAGACTCTGAAAAGTTATGTAGCACACTTTTGGGCGCCTGCAAGCGGCAACTTTCTGTAAGCTGCATATGTATTAGTATGTCTGTATAACATGCCTCCTTGTGGTTACATATATTCATATGTATATATTCATATGTGTTTGTGTGGTTTTGTGAGGTTGTGTGTGTGTGTGTGTGTGTGTGTGTGTGTGTGTGTGTGTGTGTGTGTGAGTGTCTGTACCAAAAGGTAAATGACATCAATGGAGGTTGGCTGGCTGCTCAGTCGCGAACGGGCGCTGACTGCGACTGCGAGTGCGAGTGCAGCGTGTTTACTTTTTGCTTGCATTCTCTGGTCTCTGGTCTCGGTTTCCGTTTGCTGCTTGCCTGCTTACAGTTTCCGGCTTTAGCCAACACACACACACATGCGCACAGACATACATCTGTACACACACAGCGGCTGAGTTTCTATGCGCGCGCCTAAATGTATGCAATGATTTTTTCTTCATTTTTAAGCAGCCTGCACAAACGCTGCAGATGAGGCCGGCACACCCACACACACACACACACGCTTTGAAGTTTGCAGCTTTGGCAAGCTCTTTAATAACTAATCAGACCCAAAAAGTGGGCCCTGCCTGGCGGGCAATCGCCAAGTTATCCGTTGTGTTGAAAACTTTTTGGAAACAGCAGAAATTGCCGCTCATTGTTTGCTGATAACTGAAATCAATGCAGGCGTTGCAAAGGGGGCGTGGCAAGTCAGTGTTCAAGTTTTGGCCCATTGCCAAAGAAATGAAATTCTATAAAATGTTCATTTCGAATTTATTATCGAACATTAAATGCTCTATCGTCATTTAAGCCATGAGAAAAGCATTTGCAAGACATTTAGTTATAGAATGTTTGAATTTCAAACGTTTCCACAAGAGAAACGAAATGGAACCAACTCTATATGGCTTTTGGACAGTGTCAGTGCAATTTGTGTCAAATTTTCTACATGTGAAACGAAATGGAATGGAATAGACGTAACGACAAGATACAAGGGAACGTATTAGAGAACAGACTTTAAACACTCCTATTTTTTTTTATTTTACATAAAAGAATTCGCTTGTGATAGAAAATGAAATTGGAACACTTCAGTGGAATTGGAACATTCAAAATCGGGGCATTTTATATCAAGTTTAAAGAAAATTGTTACAAATTGAAATTAAAATACTTTATGAATATACATTGTTTATGCTTAAAGCGTGTGGAACGAAGTGGAAATAAAACAGACTTCAAATATATTATGCGTCCTTTGATATAATGTACTTCAAATTTTTGCTAGGTTTCAAAAATGGTTTCTTCAAATTAGGAACGTTGGAATGGAACACTCAAATAATATATATTGTAAGATGAACAGTATGTCCAAGCGATTCATTAGATAATTCATATACTTTTAATACCCTCTCCTTGTGAGGGAGCATAACAAAAGGCACAATTTCTTTTTGGGCCAACCAACCAAGGATAAAGTTTGTTATGTAAAATATTTTGGTCTCTTTGAACCGGCGACTTACCGCTGGGATCGTGATGTGGTGGCGGCAGACCCGCCTGCTGCGGCTGATGCTGCTGATGATGATGATGGGGATTGGGCGCACAGAATGCGCTTGAGCCGCCGCCCAGCGTTGGCGGTGGTCCGGCTGGCGGGGGTGGCGGATATGCACTGGCCCTATACGAAGGCGGCGGTGAGCCAACATCGCAACGATCCGGCGGCACCGTGGGCGGACCACCCTGCGGCGGCGGCGGACCGTAATGGGCCTGCGGCGGCGGTCCACCATAATGATGAGGCGGCGGTGGCGGACCACCATGATACTCAGCCGCCTGCTGGTAATGATGGGCGTGTGCCGCATGCGCTGCATGGGCGGCCGCATACTGATGCTGATGATGCATATGCAGCACCCCGCTGCCGGCGGGCGCCAATTGATGGGCATGGTAAGCGGCAGCGGCCGCGGCAGCTGCAGCCGCAGCGGCTGCATAAGATGGCGGCGGCGGTCCATGATGATCCGGCGGCATATGCTCCGTATGCAGGCCCAGATCCGGGGCATGATACATGCCCGCGCTGAGCGGTTCGCCCGGCAGCAACACGTGCGGCGCCGGCGGCTGCACGGGCAGCGGCGGTGAGCTGTGCGCTGCAAGCGGCAAAGATGGAAATATAAGAATTTTGTCAATCATTATTGAATGGCAACTAACAACTGCATTTTATTGGATATGAATCGTTGAAAAAAGTGCATTGTGTTGGCAATATTGGCATTTCGATAAAAAATTTGATAATCGTAAGAATTTTAACTATTTTATTCGAGCTCATAGTCTTTATAACTATATGGAAAAAGTCGATAAATATATTTTGTATGTGATCTCGAATGACATTTTTCACATTCTACCAATATTGACATTATTTAGTAAGTGGAAAACCAACTACATAAAATTTAAATAGCTCCAAAATTTATAGAAACTGATAAGTAATTTTAGCCAGTTGGCAAGGTAATTATCAGCGTTGCCATATAGTTTGAAATAGCCAAAACAAACGGCAAATGAATTGTCATCATTGCCATACTCTTAAGAATCGAATATGTTGGACTTAACATCGAATTTTATCGTTGTAACGGAATAAAAGCAATAGATACTGAATGCATTAAAATAGTATACTCTATACACAACGCGAAAAAGGGAATATGGAAATATATCAGTATTCTGTTCGAATAAACGCAATCATCTCTACTGTCATGTCCGCTGACCTCCTCTAAGGAGGAAGCAAGTGCAATCGATCGATTGTTTTTTTAGATTTACATAAAGTTCATCAATTGCCAGCGTTGCCATATCATCAAATTATACAAATATTTACTTCTTTATTCAATTCTGTTAATTTTATTTAATTTTGATCGTTTCCATATTATGAAAATGTTGTAAAATTTATGTTTTTATTTGATTGACTGTGTTGCCATATTTTCAAATTTTTAAATTGTTTATATCTGATTCTAAATTTAATCTATATAATATTATTCAATTTTCAGCGTTTTTAAATTTTTGTTTATTTTTAAAGTCAATCGAGATCACTTTATTCGATTGTCAGCGTTGCCATATTATTCAAATGGTTAAATATATATTTATATTCGATTTTCAGGTAAATTAATCGAAAGAAAAAAATCAGAGTTGCCATATTCTTTTTATTTTTTTTTTTTTTTTTTTGTTTTTTTTTGGTTTTAAGTTACTTTTATTTTTGCTAATTTTCTGTTACTTTTTACTTTTAGCAAGTTTTATCAGCGTGAGTTGCCATATTATTAAAATTTAAAAATGATAAAATTGTAATAGGATTATTTTTGAATTTGTAACTTACCCTCACTGAGACCGGAACTGGCACCAGGCGGCAGCATGCTGGATAGAGCGCTGAGTGGCGTATAGGATTTGGGTGGCTCGACGGAGCCGGGTCGCAGAAGGCGCTCCTCTGTCACGCTGGACTGGACACGATACTGCATTTTACAGTATGCCTCCTGGGCGGCACCATTGCTGGCATTGACATAGACGCCGGTAATGGTGACATCTGTGTCCTGAACAATGACCACACTGGATGACGTTGGACGGCTGCAGTCCTTAGCATCTTTGGCGCTGCTCGAATCGCCACGATAGCCAGTTGTTGTAATGGTAGTGTCCGTATTCGTCTCCTTGGTCTCCTTGGAGTACTTGGAATCGTTGCTTTCCTCGATCATATTGCTCTGCGGCTTGTTGCTTAATGCCGCATCCTTCAGATCCTTTAGCTCTTTGGCCTCCTTGGACTCTTTGCTGTCCTTATCCTTGCAATCTTTGGGCTCCTTTTTGATGTGCAGCTCGGCTTGGGCTTTGGTCGCGCTCGTAACCTTCGTGACCTTCGTAACCGTCGGCCTTGTGGTTTCCAGCTCATCGTAGCTCTCAAAGCTGCTGCAATCGCTGGCCAAATTCTTGTCCAGATGCCGTTCCACTTCGTAAGTGGCCGCCACAATGGCGCTGGCATTGAGGCTGGCCATGCGCTTGCGCGCTAATATACCCTTATAGTCGCCAATGAGTTCCTCGGTGAAGGCGGTTTTGCGCTTCTTGGGCAGCTGTTTGGGCGGCGGCTTGGACTTAGCTTTATCCATATCCTTTGGCTTCTCCCTGTCACGATCCTTGTCCTTGCTGTCGGTGTCATGCTGTTGCGTCTCCGCATCGCTGTCCTCGACCGGCACTTTTTTATGATGGTTCTTCTTTTTGGATTCACCATCACCAGCTGCTGGCGTTTGCTTCTTGGCTGGCGTTTTCTTCTGCAGCTTCTTCTTCTTTTGCTGTTGTAAGCGCTGCAGCTGCAACTCCTCCGCCTCGCTGTCGCTATCGAATTCCCAATGCTTGCCCACTCCGCGTCCGCCGGGCACATAGCGTAACTCACGACGCGGCTCCACGACAATCTCTGCCTCTGCTTTGTCCTTGTCCTTATCCTTATCCTTGTCTTTTTCCTTGTCTCTATCCCGGTCTCTGTCCCTGTCCCTGTCTGGCGGCAGCTCGCTTTTGTTGTTGTCGTCGTCGCTGCCATCGAGCGTGCGTATGCGCGGCGGCTGCTGCGTCGCCTTGGACAGCCCCAGCTCATGGGCGGTACGGGATTCATTCTCATAGAGGCACTGCACCTTGGCCAGCGCATTCAGCGAGGCCATGCGATGCCGCTTGGCCCCATAGCTGCTCAGCTTTTTCTCATCCTCCGAATCGCTGCTCTCGGAGCGCGAACTATCGCTGGCCGCCGCTGCCGGCGGCGTTGGCAGCTTTGATTTGGCTGCCGCTTGCTTTTTTTTGCCAGCAGCAACTGTTGCTGTTGTGACAGCTGTTGTTGTTGCTGCTGCTGCTGTGGCTGCTGTTGCTGTCAGCGTGGGCGTATTCGGCTTGCGTTTTATCTGCTTCTTGCCGCCGCCTTTGGGCAAGGGCTCCACAGCAGCAACTGTTGCAGCTGCTTGCTCCTGTTTGACCTTTTCGTCCTTGGCTAGCAGCTTTTGCTCCAGCTGCTTGAGCGGCCTGTTGTCCTCGTCGGAAAACTCGCGCAGCTCCTTTAGCGTTGGCAGCACCATTTTGATGGGCTCCTCATCCTCGGAGCCGCTCTTGAAGTCGTATATATCATTCGCCGCACTCAAGGAGCTCAGCGCCGTTTTACTGCAGGCCTGCTGCAGTCGGGCTTTGCCCGCTGATGTTTTGCTGTATTTGTTTTTGGGGCGCTGCTTGGCGGGCGCCGCTGCTGCAGCTGCGGGGCTTGGTGTTATTATCCCGCTGCCCGTGGGCGTTGACTCTATGGGCGTGGCCGTGCGCGTCGGCGCCGGCGTTGGCGTTGGCGTCGCTGTTGGCGTTGGCGGTGTTTGCATGCTATTGATTTCCTCCAAATCCATGTGCACCAGCTCCGTGTTGGAGTCGAGCTGGGCGCGTGTCTTCGTTTTGCTCTGCTCCAACTCTGTTGTCGTTGATGCTGTTGCTGTTGCTGTTATTGTTGTTGTTGCTGTTGCTGTTGCTTGCGCCCCCTTTTTGCCACCCTTGGGTGCTGTCACACCGCTTCTGCCCTTGTCTTTTTGCGTTTGTTGCTGCGATTGCTGTTGTTGTTGTTGTTGTTTTTTGGGCGCCGCCTTTGTCGCTTTGGCTGCCAATGTGGACGGCGGCTCGAGCTTGGCCTTTTTGGCAGCGGACTGTTTGGCGCCTTTGGCACCAGGAGATTCTTTACTATCGCAATGAGCATCCTTTGGCTCGCTTAATACTGCCTCCGGCTCCTTGGACTTTTCCTTGTCCTTCTCCTTATCCTTATCCTTATCCTTATCCCTCTCCTTCTCCTTCTCCTTGTCGCGCTCCCTGTCCAACTTGCTGGCCTCGTTGTCCACACGCTGGCGCTTGACATTGAGCGGCTTGCCAGGATTCAGGCTGGCTATGACCTTGACAGCTGCTGCACGCGATTTGGTCTTTACATTTTCCGATATGGAGGACTTGAGGCCCTCGCTCATGCGCTCCTCGCCGCTGGGCAGCAGATTGTCAAAGCCATGAATCTTGATGTCCAGACTCTTGAGCATTTTATTTATGGCTCGCGCCTTGCCGTCCTCCTGACGCTCCTCCGGCGACAGCTTTAGCGTACTCGATCCGCCAGACTTGTCCGTGCTGGCGGTGGCTGAGGCTAATGTTGTTGTTGCTGTTGCAGCGGATGTTGCTGCTGCTCCAGCTGTTGTTGTTGCTGTTGTTGTTGTTGCTATTGCACTGGACCCCGTCGCCTGCTGTTGCTGTCGCTTTGTGGCGGTTGTTGTTGTTGTTGATGTTGCCTCGGATTTGGCACACCTTCTATCCTCCGGCTCGTCCGTTAGCTTCTGCTGCTTGCCACTGCTGCGTTTCTTTGACGTCGACGTCGACGTCGTCGCTGTGGCAGACGTCGCCGTCGTCGCAGCTGTGGCACGCTGCTGTCGCTCGGCAACGCTGGAACGCTTCTTCGGACCCATCTCTGTGCGCTGCCCAGCCAAGAGACTAGTGTGCGCAAGGGAAGAGAAAGAGAGATAAAGCTCATAAGAGAGACAGAAAGAGAAAGCAGGATAAACCTAAAGGCGAATAATATCGTTACATGTACTCGCTAAATGCATACCCTGTGCTAAGAGTGTTTTTATACCCTGAACCCTTAAAAAATGGGCAAAATCCAAATGTATGTAACAGGCAGAAGGAAGCATCTCCGACCCCATAAAGTATATATATTCTTGATCAGCACCAATAGCCGAGTCGATCTAGCCATGTCCGTCTGTCTGTCTGTCTGTCTGTCTGTCCGTCCGTCCGTATGTATGAACGCAAGGATCTCAGAACCTATAAGAGCTAGATGTAGATGCTCCTATATCCCGAGCAGATCGAGTTTGTTTCCGATAATCGATAACTTACTCCGTTTCCAAGCAATCGATAAAAATCGATATCGATATCCTGTTTTTTGGGCAATTTTGGTAAATAATAAGAGCTAGAGTCACCAAACTTGACATATAGCTTCTAAAATAGAATATATATATGCATTTGATGTTGGAAGAAGAGGGTTCAGGGTATCCCCTAGTCGGGAGCTCCCGACTAGAACCTCTTACTTGTTTTTACTACACTCGATATGTGCTAGTTACACGTCTACGATACACTTGTCAGGTGTGAATTTAAAAACCACTTTATCTTCATACGAAACTGTTTTGTAAACAAATTAAATCGAAAAGTGTATAAGCTGTAGCCCTGGTTGGTAAGAGCGTATTAAGAATTAAGGGACAACAAGAGCGCTCTAGTCAAAAGTGCCGGACTAGCCCGGACTAGATACCCTAAAGCTGAACGTATCTGTATCTGTATCTGCATCTGCATCTGTATCTCTATCTCAATTTCTATCTCTATCTCTATCTCTATCTCTATCTCTATCTCTATCTCTATCTATCTCTATCTCTATCTCTATCTCTATCTCTATCTCTATCTCTATCTATCTCTATCTCTATCTCTATCTCTATCTCTATCTCTATCTCTATCTCTATCTCTATCTCTATCTCTATCTCTATCTCTATCTCTATCTCTATCTCTATCTCTATCTCTATCTCTATCTCTATCTCTATCTCTATCTCTATCTCTATCTCTATCTCTATCTCTATCTCTATCTCTATCTCTATCTGTAAATGTGTCTGTGCCTGTATCTGTATACATTACAAAAGAGCCTAGATATTTTGTTTCGTGCATCTAGCTTTTAAATTTTTTGAGTTTGGCCTAAAAAATCATATCTCAAAATCGATATTAATCGATAACACAATTATCCAAGGAGATATATCGGAAAATTGATAAGCTTGTCATGATTACGGTATATATTTTTTAAGTCTCTTGCTCGACTCACGGCTCGTTCATATATACAAGATCATGGGACTCGGCTTGTTGTCGCTATCAAGAACTTATATGCTTTATGGTATCGTAAATACCTCCTGCCGCCTGTTACATACATTCTCCCGAAAACCGAGTATCCAATTGATTATTCCATCAAAAAAAAAAAAAAATAATGTTCTCATCGTGCACAGTTCCCGTTCCCTATTCCTGTTTAATTTGATGACTACACATTTTTATCTTTTACATTACATACATATATGTATGTGCTCGATATTTCATTTGCATGTCAGAGGAAACAGCTGAGTCAGTTGTTTCAGCGACTTTCCACTTCACTTTTAATTTCTTTTCCCTTTTTTCTGGTTCAAGTGTCAGCGCGTGACAAACAATGAAAATTGTAGTCGCAATTTCTACCCGTCAGTTCTTTGGCGTCGCGTCTCTTCATTAGAGAGCCGACCTGACACGAGACTTAAGGGACATTTTTGTCAAAGGAATATTCCAACAAAAGAAAAATCTGTATTTTTTACTTGGTGTGTTTTAGGCAACGGAAGTTATTTAAGCCTAGTTTAAGGCTGGTAAAAAAAAGTATCCCATTTATTAAAATTCTATATTATGAAGTTACTGGAATTCACAGCTTTTTGCTTATATGTATATAAGTTGATACAAATATTTTTCAAGCTTATACAAATTTTTTTTTTTTGGGTTTACTATGGGCTGACCTTCGAATATTCGAAGCTGGGATTAGGCCATGTATTATGGATTATCAAAGCTTTAAGCCAATGTAAAAGGCATTGAAATGTTGGTGTTCACAAAAGTTCAAAGTTTAGCCATAACGGGAAATATATACTAAAATTGAAACAATTTTTATTTCTATAACTTTATTTTTATAACTCTAAGATATGCTCAAAACACAGAACACAGGCAAGTTAAAATTTATCGATTTACGTGTAATAGGGGAAGGAATCGTTAGTTTTCAACTAAATTTGCGAATATTCTAGATTTGTTGAACAGACACTAGACCGATATAACTGTGTACCTATTCTCAATATATTTTCATTACAGGGTATAATCATGATTTAGACATACCTAAATATATCCTTTACCATTCATTCACAATACCACAAGAATGACTCATACATAATTATATTATAAACAGAGTATAAGCTGAGCAATAGTCTAAGATTGTCTACCTTCGAATTCAAAGTTTTTTAGGCAAGATCTCTTTTTCAGCTAACACCAACACACAAGCACATTCACAGTATTTGTTAACTCCAAGTCAAGCTCTTAAGCTACAGTTACATGCACATACATACATACACACATGCATATTTACCTTACGCTCTCGCTCGCTTGCACTCGCGCCTTCTTTCAGTTGGCGGGAAGGCGGGCGCGCGAGCGCGCTCTCGCTCTCTCTCTTTCTCTCTTACTAGCAGTGTTTTTTTTTAGGTGAGCTGGGAATACCAGTAACAGTTTAAGCCAAAGCCATTCCTGGGCATTGGCAGCAGCAGCGCCATTTGGGTGATGAGCCGCCTAGCGTAGGCGCTGCGCTGTTGCGAGTTTAAATGCAATTATTTTGTTTGTTTTTGTTTGATAAAGTTGTCTTTTGATTTGTTGTTTTTAGTGCTTTTGCACTGTTTTAGCCTATAAAATATGCAACACTTTTTTTTAGTAATTGAATATAAACAAAACGGTTAACCCGCATTTTGAGCAGATTTCATCATAATTTATGCATTACAACGGCTGCGGCGGCTGTTGCAAGCGTTTTATGCAAATGCGCCAACACTCACGTACACACAGATACACACACACAAGCACACGCATATGGATGTAAGTTAAAAAGTTACAAGACATTTGTTTACGCTCGCTCATTTGTGACGATATGGCAACACTGTGCGTAGTTTGCTCACGTATACATACACATATACAGACACACTGGGCATTGGGCACATTGCTAAAACATCAACAAAAGAAAAACTGAAATTAACATAGCCAACAACGCACACACACACACACAGACGCACAAACGACAAGGAGATACACAATCGAGCTGCCTTAGCAGAACTCTATTAAAAACTGGGCGCACTTTTTCCAACTTATAAAGTGTATGAATTTGGGATTTGTATTTTCCAAGCAAATTGACAACAACAACAGCATCAACACACACACACACTTATGTACACAATTCGAGTATTGGGGCGAACGCCCGCCCGCTTGCGTACACAATTTAATGATGCAGGAGTGCTCTTATTGGAAGTGAATTGCCTTGCGTATTAGATGCTTGCATTTAATGTTAATGGCATATGCACATTCAAACTCAACAAACTAGAAAAAATAACAAAAAATAAAAGAACAACAGCAGCAGCTGCCGTTGCCAAAGCACACGCACACGCAGCGAAAAAATTTTTTAACGCGGACACTCGACACACACGCTCACGAGCATCTTATCAGACTGGCGCTCTCTATAGTGATGGCTAAACGTCCCGATATATCGCTAAGCGTATGGGCTGTTATATAACAGTGATGTTAGTGCGCATCTATCGATAGTGGTTGTTAACACTAACACGAATGGAAATTACAGCACGAATTGATGTTAGCTAAACTATCTAGCAGTACAAACATAGCTTACAGCTCGTATTAAATTTAATGGCAACAATTTTTTAATATGTTGCATTATTTTTGTCAAAAGCCAAATTTATTTATTTATTTATTTATTAATGGTCGACAAAACGAGTGTCTTCCTCATTATTCAATAGAATATACAATAGAATTTTATGCTAAAAGCCTAGTTAAAGGATACAATTTTCTAAATAGCATCACCGACCGATGGAGGTGTTTTATTTGCCAGTCCGGCCAGCTGTGCCCCTTTTCACAGCTAATTTTGTCAGTGACGCTATTAGAGCCTACATCTAAGCAGAAGGTTGTAAGTAGGAAAAAAGTGTTTTCAAGTAGCATTAAAATAATCTTAATTTGCTATATTAATAAAGAAAATACAATAAATAGGAAAAATGAAAGTAAGAAGAATTGTTAATAAAGTAAAGCAATGTAAGTTAGATAAAGAGTGTTAAGTAGATAGGACAGAAAGAAAAGTAATGGGAAATCACCGACCCGGTGGGGGAAAAATTTTTCAGCCTGTCCGGCAAGCTATGCCCCTGCTCATAGCTGGGAATGGTCAGCGACTTCCCGAAGGTATCCTGAAAGCAACGATTTTATTAGGGGTAGAGACAGTTCGGTAGAGAAAACGTGATGCAAACTATTATAATTTTTACATAGCACGCGAAAAGGATTGTGCATAGCGTAGTCTGTTGTGCACGTAGATAGTAAAAAGGGGCGATAATTTCTGGTTGGTCTAGCCGGAACAGAGAATTGAAGACGCCCTAGCAGAAAAGGAGAATCTATGTCGCCAATAATCAACTTATGTAGAAGGACAACACCGAGAATTGTCCTACGGTTGGTTAACGACGGAAGGTTGAGAAGAAGCAGTCTGCTGGAGTAGGATGGCAACCGAAGATTAGGGTCCCAATTTAAACCTCGTAAGGCAAAAAGCAGAAATTGCTTCTGAACAGATTCAATACGATCCTGGCTGTTGTTATACTGTGGAGACCAAATGCAAGAGCAGAATTCAAGGATA